AACAGCAGCCACAGCAGCGACAGCAGCGACAGCAGCGACAGCAGCGACAGCAGCAACGCTCTACTCTGCATGCAGGAGCTGCTCAAGTTTGGCGCCAAACTAGACAGCCAGGACTCGAGAAGCGGCCAGACGGCGCTGTCATGGGCGCTGAGAAAAGGGCGGCGAAGGAGCGCGCAGTTTTTGATCAGCCGCGGCGCGGATGTGAACACGGCGGACCTGTGCGGTATGACGCCACTCATTATTGCCGCTGGGAAGTCGGACAGTGTTGGGATTCTCCGGTGTCTGCTCAACGCCGGCGCAGATATTGATGCGCGCGCCAGGGGATGGAGATGGCGGTTCACCTCTAGAGACATGACGGCTCTAGTGGAAGCCTCTTGTGCCGGGGTCGTGGAAAACGTACAATTTTTGCTGCGCAACGGCGCCGAGATAGTCGGTAGCGAGATCCACCACGCCGTGTATCGAGGACATCTTCAAGTTCTGAAAACACTCGTCTTCCAAGGCCGCGCTATGGCGAAAGTGGTGACGTTTTTCGTATGCCCCAAGCTCTTCGCCGTCACGTTAACCCCTCTGGTCGCCGCCTGCTGGAGTGACAATCAGGAAATGTGCCAGTTTCTGCTACATCAACGACTTTTAGTCCCTGACGAGGCGTCCAGGTTGAGGGAAAGGTTGAAGCACCGGTCAGTCGAGTCGCTGTCTCCGGCTATCCAAGAGCTGATTCGTGAATTCACGTCCACTCCGCCATCTCTCCTGTCTCTGGCGGCCACCATCGTGTCTTCCACACTAGACCAGTCAAGGTCAGACTGCGAGGGGAACATGGAATCTCTACAACTTCCGTATCTCTTGCGAAAGTATGTGCATTTTACATATTCGAATCTAAACCATAAATATGATAACGAAAATTAACTGACAGCAATTTTACAGCGTGAATGATCTTGCGCTCCAGAACAATCTCTATGCATGTGCGATATATCTGTCAAATATGTGTAATGTCATAAGCATTGAGTCTTTCAAAGTTCCGGCTGGCATTTTGTCAAATTACGTCTTTCGCAACGTGTGAGTGGGGAGTTTTTCTATTTAAGATTACAACGCAGGGAGCTTCTTACAACTAAAAGGTCCGGTCGTGCGGAAGTTTTGAGGGCGCTGTACAAAGTGTTGGCGCGCATCATGTATCACGTCTCTGTTGAATGAACGATGTGTGAAAGTGAGCGTTGGAGATAGGGGAAGTAAGCGTCATGTATGTCTGTGACTGAAGGAGGTGCTCAGGTGCGGGTAATCTGGTTTTAGAGGATACATTTTGCTAGAAAATGGCTTTCAAACTTTAGTGATTTCAAAAGCTGTGGAGTAATTGAAAATAACAAATTTACATTTTTTTCTGCCTTTGATCAACGTTTTTGGCTGTAAAATCTGTACAGAAATGGGTGGGTTTTTTTTAGACGAACATATAGTACCCAAAACAAAAGAAAACAAAACGAAGATGGATGGAAAATGCCTAGCAGGCCGACAATGTTTCTCCGATATCATTATATCATTAGTTTTAGAAGAGCCCGAGTTCACTACAATGCCTCACAGTTTTCTTCGATATCATTAGTTTTAGAAGAGCCCGATTTCACCACAATGCCACTCATTTAATTGATCAAGCTCTTCCTTCCGTCTGTCAGCTTTGAGTCCTCACCTACACAACTTACAGAACTGGCTCAGAACATCTAAACAATCTAAAATATATTAGTCACGGCACAGTGGAATCAGGCACTCGTCAATTTTTGGGTACGTGGAGTTATTGGTGTCATCTGAAAGCTTGTTCATTTGACTATCTTTCAGTGAAAAAATATGCATCTCTCTAGAATAGAAGTCAAGATATTTGTGACTGAAGGAGGGGAGGGTTGCCTGATTTTAGAGTTATAAATTAATGAGAAAATTTCCGCAAAAGTTTGGTAACTTCCATAGTTTGAGAACCCTTGGAAGATGAAAATTTACATCTTTTTGTGTCTTTAATAAATGTTTAAAAAAAAAACCTAAAATCCACACACAGAAATGTGTTTATAAATAGATATAAAAGGTGTTGAGCCAAAACAACAAAAATTCGACCACATTTCTCTATCTGGCGGGAAAATGACAATATCTTCAATTCCATTATTTTGACGAGCGCCATATTTCCCCACGCTGCCACTCCTTTGATCAAGCACTTCCTTCCGTCTGTCATCTTTGAGCCTCCCGCCTACACAACAATAAGAACTGGCTCTGAACATCGAAACAATTTACAATATTATAGTGCTGACAAGGGATCTGAACATTTACAACAACAGAAGTGCAGGAAAAGTCAAAGAGTTTCCAGTATGCACGTGTCACACGCGCACAAAGGAACGGACGCAGTCCGTTGTTCTGACTCTTGAGACAGGATCTACGGTCCGCAGCATACCCTTGCTTCCTCGTTGGAGAAAATCGTTGACGTGGGAGGCAAGCGTAGGCCTATCAATACTATCATGTCCCTGTGGATCATGGAGGCTTTCGCTGTTTGTTGTTGTGGTAACGAGAGAGTTGAGTTGTCTTTGGTTTGTTCGGGTCTGAGCAGTTGGGTGTATACAGCTTTGCCTTATGATGGTGTTATATTGAATAATAAATGAATGATTGGGATTGCAAATGTGTGTGTGTGTGTGTGTGTGTGTGTGTGTGTGTGTGTGTGTGTGTGTGTGTGTGTGTGTGTGTGTGTGTGTGTGTGTGTGCACGCGGACACGCGCACACACATGCATGCGCGTCTGTGTTTTTGTGTGTATTAAATAATAATATGCCTACATGCGTGGGTGTATATATTTTTACATACCGTTTTTTGCAGTTTCTGGTTTTCAAAGAGTCACTGATAACACGCAATATAATTCTAATATCAGAATATTAGATGCTTGTTGATTCGTAGGCGGGCATTTTAATTACGAGACAGGGTAGAGAGAGGGCGGGGATTATGAAAACGTATTTTCTAATCAGTATTGGTAGTTGCACCCTTAGCTTCAGCTGTGTCTCTTACTGAAGATGTATGCACACTCGGCAACACAGGTAAGAGCTGAAACACAGCAGTGTGTGGTAGTTAAACGGTGTCTTTTCATGTGGACAAATTCTGAGCACTTTTTTTTCTCATTGTCACGTCTTGTTTGATTTCGGTGCCGTCTCGCTACGGACAGGGGACGGGTTTAGCCAGTTGTTTTTTAGGGGAAAAGAGGATGCAAAAAGTCTCTGTTGTTCTTCGATTATAAATTCCTTCCTCCACCCAAGCAATAAAGGCACACACTCACTCACACTCCCTCCCTCACATACAATCTCCACACACATGCGCACGGCATTCAGACATGCAAATATGCACACACACACACACACACACACACACACACACACACACACACACACACACACACACACACACACA